CATCTAACCACTCCCCCCAGCTCAGTGAGGCCACCACAGTCCACCCCTGTTGTCACCCTTGCTCACCTGAGCTGCTGGGATGCCTCCCACCCATCAGTGCCACATTCGCTTCCCCCAAATTCACCTTCCACTCCAGTCCAAGGGTGTATATGTGTGTTTCTTTTTTATTAAGGCAGTTTTCAGGGAACATTTTTCACTTACTTTAAGTGTATGGTGTTTGAATTGTGAATGTTGTATTTACCTATCTAGCCACCAAGATGGAAGGCAGTTCTCATTCTCAAAGCTGCCTTTTGCTCTTTTGCTCTCCATCCCTGGACCCAGGCAGCAGCCCTAGATCTGTTTTCCGCTATCTGATTTAACGCCTTTTCTAGGATATGTGATGGTTAATACTGAGTGTCAACTTGATTGGATTAAAGGATGCAAATTATTGGTCCTAGGTGTGTCTGGGAGGTGTTGCCAAATATAAATATATAATATATATTATATGTAAATATATATAAATATAATAATATATATAATTATATTTATTTCATATATATTATAAATATATAATTTATATTTATATATAAATACATATAAATATAAATAAATAAATATATAATTATAAATAAATATAAATATGTAATTATAAATAAATATATTTATTATATTTGTATATATTTATTATATATAATGCATATTTTATATATAATTATATATTTGTTACATGTATACATTTACATTATATATAAATATATTATATATGATAAATATATGATATATAATATGTAAATATATATTATATATGATAAATATGTGATATATAATATGTAAATATATATTACATATGATAAATATGTGATATATAATATGTAAATATATATTACATATGATAAATATGTGATATATAATATGTAAATATATATTACATATGATAAATATGTGATATATAATATGTAAATATATATTACATATGATAAATATGTGATATATAATATGTAAATATATATTACATATGATAAATATGTGATATATAATATGTAAATATATATTACATATGATAAATATGTGATATATAATATGTAAATATATATTACATATGATAAATATGTGATATATAATATGTAAATATATATTACATATGATAAATATGTGATATATAATATGTAAATATATATTACATATGATAAATATGTGATATATAATATGTAAATATATATTACATATGATAAATATGTGATATATAATATGTAAATATATATTACATATGATAAATATGTGATATATAATATGTAAATATATATTACATATGATAAATATGTGATATATAATATGTAAATATATATTACATATGATAAATATGTGATATATAATATGTAAATATATATTATATATTTATTATGTTTACTATGCATATAATATATGTATATATGTGTATCTTTTATATATAATTATACACTTTTTACACATATTTTATGTATATATCCTATATATATATGTGTGTGCGTATATATATCCTATTGGTTCTGTCCTCCTGAAGAACCCCGACTAATACATAACTGTATAACCACCAAGGCAGAAAGCACTTCCCTCAACCTCAAAGTCGCCATTTGCTCCTTTGCTCTCTATCCCTGGCCCCAGGCAACCCTAGATCTGCTTTCTGCTGCCTGATTTTTGCTTTTGCTGGGATGTCATATAAATACAATCATACAAGATGTAGTCCTTGGGCTTGGATTTTTTTTTTCATTTAAGATTTATCCACATCATTGTCTCTTTTCATCTGGGCTCTTTCTTTTTTTACATCAAACTGTTACAAAACTGGCAAGTTCACAAGCCCACTGTGCAGCAACGTGCCAATACTCAGACAGCAAGGTTTGCAGTAGAGAAAGAGTTTAATCATTGTAAGGCCTCTGAACAAGGAAATGGGAGGAATTCTCAGCCTCATATCTGTTTGCAGAGGGGTTCTAGGCAAGTTTTTAGGAGGATTGTGGAGGGTGAGGGGCTGGAAAATACAGGGTCATTGATTGGTCTGGTAAGGGAGTGAAATTATCAGGATGTGGAAACTGTGTCTTCCAGGAGCCGGCCCTTCAGAGCTGGGGATGGATAGTGTTATTAGTTTGTAGAATCTAAAGGAGAAACACTTAGATTTTACCATAGAACAAAGAGCTCTGTGATGAGGGCTACCTTATCCTGGAGTCATGAGCAAACTGGCTTAGTAATTTCTGCTGATTATGTTGCTAGCCTAGTTGAATTTTACTTTTTTCCTTTAATTAATTTTATATTTTATTATTATTATACTTTAAGTTCTAGGGTACTTGTGCAGAATGTGCAGGTTTGTTATATAGATACACATGTGCTGTGGTGGTTTGCTGCACCCATCAACCCCTCATCTACATTAGATATTTCTCCTAATGCTATCCCTCCCCTAATCCCCACCCCCAAACAGGCCCTGGTGTGTGATGTCCCCCTCCCTGTGTCCATGTGTTCTCATTGTTCGATTCCCACTTATGAGTTAGAATATGCAGTATTTGTTTTTTTGTTCTTGTGTTAGTTTGCTAAGACTCATGATTTCCAGCTTCATGCATGTCCCTGCAAAGGACATGAACTCATCCCTTTTTATGGCTGCATAGTATTCCATGGTGTACATGTGCCACATTTTCTTTATCCAGTCTGTCATTGTTGGGCATTTTGGTTGGTTCCAAGTCTTTGTTGTGAACAGTGCCACAATAAACATTTTTGTGCATGTGTCTTTATAGTAGAATGATTTATAATCCTTTGGGTATATACCCAGTAATGGGATTGCTAGGTCAAATGATATTTCTAGTTCTAGATCCTTGAGGAATCACCACACTACCTTCCACAATGATTGAACTAATTTACACTCCCACAAACAATGTAAAAGCCTTTTTAATCAATTTTATAAAGTTTTTTGGGGGACAATTTCAAAACTAGCTGAGCAATTTCCGACTGCCCTCATGTGCTTCTGCCTGGAAAGCTCTCCCTCACCTAGTTCTTTCTCCTCCTTCAGGCCTCAGCCTTGATGTTACCAGCCTTGATGTTACCTGCCCTCACTGTGATGGCACTGCCTCTTCCCCAACACAATTATATTTCATAGTATTTTCCTAAGTTCCTTCCTGTTATGTTATATTGTTCATATTATGGGTCAAATTGTCCCTGCCCCCAAAATTTGTATGTTGAAGTCCTAACATTCAGTACCTCAGAATGTGACTTTATTTAGAGACAAGGTCTTTACAGAGGTAATCAAGTGAACATGAGGTCATTAGGGTAGGCCCTCACCCAATGTGACTGACATCCTTATTCAGAAGAGAACGTTTCGACATAGATCTACACAGAAGGATGGTGAAGATGGTCATCTACAAGCCAAGGAGTGAGGCCTAGGACAGATTCATTCTCCTCACAGCCCTCAGAAGGAATCAGCCCTGCTGACACTTTGGTCTTGAACTTTCAGCTCCAGAATGGTGAGACAATACTTTTCTGTTGTTTAAACCACCCAGTTTGTGGCACTTTGTTATGGCAGCCCTACTGTACTAATACATACATATTTTTTCCTTTCTGCCTTCTCTAGAGTACAGGCTTCAAGGAAGCAGGGATCCCCTCTGTCTCATTCACAGCCCTGTCCCCAGTATTAATGTTACTGCATTAATGAATGGGTACATCCTGTTATTTTGTCGTTGCAATTATCCCTGTAAGGTTGGCTCACCAAGTTTAAGTTCCTTACCCAAGTTGATGGCTAAAAGAGAGAGAATTCTTGATTCTTGGGGCCTATCATTCTAATTATGCCAGAGTTCCCTGAGGGCCTTCTTATTTTAGATAAAATCTGGAAACAAATTCTACTGTCTTTTCCTTCTTATAGGAGATAGAAGGCTTGTTCTTCTAAAAGTGTTTCAGGAAGTTCAAAGCTGTCTCATTTGGGCTACGGGGAGAGAAGCAAAAACAACAACAACAAATCCACCAGACTGCAGATACCTTGAGGGACATTATTTCCAGTAAACAAAGCAAATCAACAAGCTAAACAAAAACCTTCTTTTTTTTTTCCTTTTAACCCAAGTATTGGCAATCATACTCATTTATAAAGCACACACCCCAATCCAATCTCATATGATATAATTTATTCCAATGTGACTTACAAAGATCTTTCAAGAAGCTGACAATTGCATACTTAGAGCTATAGGCCCATTGATTGAAACACACCTGCAAACTAAGAGGCATTTGCCAGAATGGCCAGAAAAAGGAGGCCATGATAGCTTTTAAACCAACCCCAGAAAGAGAGACCAAATGCATGCAGAGGAGTGTCTGGGGACGGAGCGTGAGCAACGGAGAGTAAATATACTACTTTGAGTGACCAGACACCTTGAAGCAGGTTTACAATATGATAGCCCACTCAATTAAATTGTTTCTTTTCCCCCCAAGGGGCCTAAATAGTATAGCTGTTACTTTAATTTGAAATGAGTTGAGTTTGGTGAATGATAGGCAGCATCTTTAATGTATAGCTGATCACTGGTGCATTCTCACTTTGGCCGTGCTTTTTATGGTTTCGTCTTGGTCTCTATGTCCTTGGAGTGTCTTTTCTGCGTCTCTGTACATCACTGTATTGTCTATGACTTCTCTGTTCATTCTTCTGCCAGCACCTCTCTGCCTCTCTGTGTGTCTCTGGCTCCTCCTTCTCTGTGGACCTCTCATATTATCAGGTTACCTGTTTGGCTGCAATAGAATTTCATCGGCCTCCCCTGCAGGAGAGCAGAGCTCTTTTGTGGAACAAAATAGCATTCAGGACAGAGAAAAATCTTTTTAAGTGTGCAAATGCTGTCTCGTTATCCTGAGTCTGAAGGGAGGAACCTCTCAGGCTTTGTCATTTCAGTAAGAAAGAAAGACCTTTGAAATCTTTACAATTATCTTCACACTCAGGTCTCCTTGTCCCCCACACCAGCTAAAAGATGGGTAAATAGTGCTGAATGCTCATTGGCTGGTCCATCGAGGGCAGGATTATTTATTGAGATATTAATTCAGGTTCCATCTTTACTGCTGAAAGAGAATCAAAAAGAATGAGAGGCTTTGCTGTTCTGTGCTCTGGGTCTCTCCCTCTCCCAGGCCCTGAGCTGGGCAAGGAAGTAGGGAGGGCCTATTATACTATATATACATATGCATGCTTTTACACACACATACACACACACACGTGTATGTTTATAGATACACATATAAATACATAAATCTCTTCTTTTGGTTGAAAAAGTATAGCTGATTGGGTGAGAGTAACAGTTCTAGAATTATTCAAATCTTAGCTCAAACACAGCTTCATACCCACAGATTTATATTCCAGCTGTACTATGTGTCCTTGGGTGAGTTATCTAAACTCTTACCCTCAGTTTGTTCATCTGTAACATGGTGATATGAGGAAGTTACTATGAAAATTAAATAAATCAATTCATGTAAAATATCTAGAAAACGTGCTTGATCCCTGACAGCTATCTGAGAAACTGGCTCCTATTTTCACTATTACTTACTGACTAATCTTGGAGAAGGAAACTGTTAGTGATAACTCACCATAAAGCTTTGAACTAGATGACTTGTGAGGTTCTATACTCCTCTAAATACCATGGGCACAGGTCTCTCATAAGGCCTTATTTTCTTCTCTACTTTTGACTAACAATGAGTAAAAGCTCTGATTAGAAATTGGACTGATTATTCAGTGTCTTAACACTTTAAAGAGAAAGATTGAGGGCTCACAGAAGATAGACCAGTGATCTGAGTCATGTGGCAAAGAGCATATACAGCAGGGTTGGGGTTAGGTATACTGTAGCATTATTAGCACAGTTCACAAACTCTTCTTCCTTTGGGACACTGGGGGCCCCAGAAGGGAATACAATTCACCTCCAAGAGTGAGTGACTAAGTGGACAAATAAACAAGGAAGAAAAAAGTGAAGACACTGAAACAAAAACATTGGCTTATTCGACTTGTAAAATAATTTGCCAGAGGGTGGCTGATGCCTTCACGAAGCCTTACACTTGCATGAACTCCAGGTTGCTGTTGGGAGGAGCATGTTCATCTTTTGACTGCTTGGGAGAGATAAGGGGCAAGGGCTTCAAATCAGCCTAGAGTTTAAGACTGAACTATTTTAAACATGGGTGCAAAGAACGGTAGCTGTCTTGAATATGCAGGATGTCTTGACTGATCACTATCTGTAGGGCAGACTTTCAATCCTTTTAATCCCTTTGAAATGGACTCCACAAGCACTACTGGGTAGTGGATCCAAGACGGTTCGTGATCCTAGAGAAGTTTCATCTGTAAAATGTCAGCAATATCTGCCCTACTTAACTCACAGGGTGTCTGTCAGACTCATAGAAGACAAGTGAATGCTCGGGGACCTGACCAGTTGTAATGGCACAAATGAGAAAATGCTTCCCATTCTCTTTCTTTTTCTCTCTCACTCACGTATGCCCCGATATCTGCAGTCAGGTATTTGTGGCATGAATAGCTTGGTTAGGAGTAGAGTGGGTAGTCATGAGCAGGGTGTGGAAGTTAAAATGGCACCTTTGCCAATTCCAGCCAAGCCTATGGCCAGTAGCCAGGCCTGGTCTCTTCTACTTGACACTGGCCTGCTGATGAGAGTCACAAGACCCCCTTGCTTTGTAAACATCATCCAAAATTATTCTATCAGTTGAAATCACCATCTGCTGGGGGCTTCTCTCATGGGAACTTCTGCTCAGAGAGGGAATTGCTGTGAGTCAGCAGAAATGACTAAGAGATTCTGGAGAGAAGACACTGCCAGTTCATGACCTCTTAAGTAAATAAATACATCAGTTAAACGGCTCTTGTCTGCTCTCTATGACTTTCAGAACAACTTCTCCCAGTTGTCTGACATTAAGAGTAATAGAACACTTGGGAGAAGTATCAACATAATTAACAAACTTAGATATAACGATCCTCATACTTTTAATAAAACATAACCAATAAATGTCTACCACTTTGTAAGTTCACACTGGAAACACACCTGATATAAATAATGAGTCAGAACAGTGGTTTCCCTATTAAAAGTCAGCAGGTTTTACTATTAAAAGTCAGTAAAGAAAACATGAAAACTTACAGGCTGAAAGAATAATTAAGGACGGTCACTATAGATTTTAAGCATTATTAGTCCTCAAAGCATCTGACTGGCTGATCATGAAGACGAATTTATTCTACTTGTCCTTGATTAAATCTCATGGCAAGATCAACTTGGGAGCCATAGTGCTCAACAATGGGCATGGCAGAATGACGGCTGGTAAGTGCAGAGCCCTAATTCATTACGGAATCCGTTAGTCTGCATGGATACATGTGGGATGATGACTACTGAAGCCACTATTTAGCCTTGTATCTAGGAGTTCCTTGCCATCTGTAAACCCTAACCCCTCCCTTCAGGCAGTTTTTTAACCTAAGGTGGTTACCTATTTTTGTTGGCTGTCCTACATCACGGACCCCTTGATAGAATTCAACTGTTCTTTGAGAACATTCAGTCTTCCCCTGCCCAAGTGGTCAATGTGACCCCACCTTAGCTTCAGAGATGAGCATGTGACTCTGCTTGGCCAATGAGAATATCATATCTCTCTAACCATAGTGATTGGTTCAGGAATGAACATGTGACCCACAGCTGACCAATCAGAGCTACTGAGACTCAACGGTTTCAATTGGAACCATTGAAAAAGAGGAACTCTCTTTTGGCTAGGGTTTCTATGAGGGTGGAATGGGGAACCTGGACAGCTGCAGCCATCTTACTGCAGAAGGTGGGCATCTACTTCTGGGTGAATCCCAGGCAGAGGAATCAGAGGCAAAACATGGGTGGAGTGAACTCCTGTCATCACTTGGGTTCTGAACCCACCTTGCCCAAAATCAGCCCTGCCCTGGGCTTTTCAGGTACTTGAGCCAATCCATTCTCTTTTCCTCTTCAACAAGGTTTGGTCAAAGTTTGCATCCCACACGACTGAACAGAATGGACATTGCTCTCAGCAAGGGACAGTAACCATGAGTCCAGGTCCTAAGCAGAGGTAGGGCCCACTTCCTCCCTTCTCACTGGTTTCCTTCCTCCTGAGTGGGGTCTATCTGAGCCTGGCATTTCCTTCGTGGCAGTTTCATTTGCTCCTGGCAGGTTCCCTTGCTCACCATCAGCCCTCAGTTTGTCCAGCTAATGTTAGGAACCTGTAAAGTGGAACTCTACGGTATTCAACTTTCTTTCTCATTAGCACGCTGTTTTTCTGTGCTGGGTGATGCAGGCTGAATGCAAAGCGGCGAGATGTGCTGGTTTGAATTCCACCGCCTTCCTTCATCAGCCTGAGTGTTTGTGTACACACAGCTGGGCTGCAATGTCGGTTTCTGTCTGATGGCTCAGAGCCACAATTTTACCCTGTTATTGATGTCCATTATGTCATTTTAGAAAATGTAGGGATGCGGCTGTTCAACTTATCCAAATATCTGTATATAAATAAATAAATGTACATTTAACTCTATCGTAACTTTGATGTGATCTGAGGGAAAAATCAGGTCTTTGTGTTTTCCAATGGAAATAAGAAGAAAGTAGGTTAATACGTCATCAGTATCACAAGCAATAATGAAACACATTAAACATCATTTGTAAATTATTTTAGCAATTACAATGTCAGTTTTTCATGAAGAATTGTAGCAACTGCCTTCTCTCTCAAATAACATATTCACCTGCAGGCAGATGGGGAGTTTCTAGGATCCCAGCTTATGTTCCTGAGAAGAGAAGTACCAAAGTTTAGCGGGCAAGGAAGTTACCAAGCTTGGTGTGCCCTCAAAGGCCACGTCTGCACTGTGTATGAGGCTGTGGAGGCTTTGGACACCCATCAGCAAGTTTTGTGTTAATATTTTTTTCTTCTATCAGCTGCTAAGACCAAAAAAGTCTGTCATCTGAATTTGACCAAGTAATTGTTTTGACTCTCAGCTCCATTTTGTCCTCTGAAGAAAGCAGTTGTGTCATGAAATGAAAAGGTGAGGTCTAGCTTCAGTAGACCAGAATTGGCATTCTGGAAAAAGTAAGACCCCAAAGATAACTTTTTACCGTGATTTCATAGGCAAATAGGACCTGAGTTTTTTTTTTTTTTAATGGAGCAAGAAAGCAATGCTTATGAGGAGCAGATTTGAGTCTAGTACTACCAAAGAGACTGTAGAGACTTGTGGAGGTCTGTGATGGTGTTTCTGGACAATGTTTTAAATTGTGTATGTTTTGTAATAGAGAGAAAGGGAGGGGAGAGAAAGGAAAGAAGAAACGGAGAAGAAGGAAGGAAGAATGGAGGATTTTTTTTTTAATCAGAGAAATAATGAGAGCAAAAAAGAAACAGAAACCCAGAGAGTCAGAATCCTATTGCTGTATTATTGGCTAGTGTCACACATGCTGCTAGCACAAAGAGACCACCAGGCAGGCTTTGTGTGGGCAACAGGGCTGTTTATTTTGTGCTTGGGTATAAGTGGGTCAAGTTCAAGAAAGGAGTTACGCAAAGCGGGTAGGAGAGGGGATTGGTTATATAGGTTGGAGCAAATGGTTAGCTAAAAGTGGTAATCTGTCTTAGGGATAAGGAAGACATCACGGGATGCATGACATCAAGGGTAGGCGTCGGTAATCTATCTTAGGGAAAGGAAGGGTATCATGGGATGCATGATCACAAGGGTATGGGATCATTTATTACAAACAGGCATGATCATAAGGGTGGGGAGTGTATGTTACAGTCAGAGGGGAGGGTGCAGTAGATTACATAGTTACAGGGGTGCGGGTCTTGAGAGACCCAGTGTCCGGGGGGCATATTTTTGCAAGGTTGAACAGGAATAATGGATGCAGGTTGCAGAGCAATTAGTTGAGGCAGGAACAAATTGTTTTACTTCTTTCTGTGGCCAGCTGGTTACTTGTGATTGCTTCAGACATTCTGGTTTCTAGAGACCATCCAGAGGTATATGTGCAGGTCACCAAGGCTAAAATGGTCAGGCCTGGACTTGGAGGCCTAACAGCTACAGAAAAGGACACTTGGGGTCTGACAGGTCTTCAGAAGTGGCTGCTGAGATTGGGCATCGTATAATGCAGCAAGAGCTATCATGTGCAAAGCTGAGTGGGCTTATTTCTTGCGTGGCAGAAGGAAGGGTTAGAACCAATGAGTAGGAAAGAGGCTTTAGTTCAGTTTTAAGAACTTTCTTAATAGAGAAATGGGCTTGCCAGTGGATAGTGAGTTCCCTGTCTGGAGACTTTCCAGCAGAGACCAAACACATATAGGATATGTTGACAGGGGAATTTAAACATTGAGGAAAATGTTAGACTAACTACTTAGACTCTCTGTGTCGCATTCGACTCTTGGAAATTAAGCAGTCATCTTAATAGAATACCTGAAAGAATCTTGAGCTATTGGTAACAAATGACCCTTAGACTCATACAGAGTTCAGAATAGGAAAAAACGATGGCAGCAGCAACACCAAAGCACAAACCAAGTTAACACTTTGCAGCAATGAGGCAATTACTTCCCTCCACAAACTCCACAGGAACCACAGTGGGTAAAAGTTAAATCACAAGCCCTTCCCCTCATTATCTAGGAATTATTTGAGCCGCCCTTCTAATTTGCATCTGTAAGCAGCCCTGCGCTGTCAGTTCTGGATAACTCTCAGAACCTAGTAAGATGATTATAAAGGATGCCCAATCCCATGGTCATTGTTGGCCGGAACACTGCCACCCACACAATGACATGAGTAAGAGGCACTGCAGAAGCCACTTAAACTGCAGGACATACAGCATCATAACACTCGGAGCTGTTGTGTGGTTCTGCGATCCAGTGAGCTTCAGCGTATTCTGAGATTGAACAAGCATCCGTCTTATGGTTAGAGTTGCGTTGGCACCTAACTTTCCATGTAAAGAGCCTTCTGAGCAGGAGGGATGATTACATTTAAAATAAAGGCTTACATTTGCTTTGACCACATTTTCATGAAGCTAAGCAAAGTCTGAGCTACTGCTTAAAAGTTCTGATGAAAAACAGTTTCTCCTCCCACCTGTTCTGGGGATAATATATGCTATGAACATGTTGACGGCCACTTTCTTCAGGCTGTGCTAGGTGGCTATTTGTAAAACCATAGTTGCAGAATGTTAGGTCACTTTTTAATGTGCTTACTAAAGCCAAGGAAATAATTTGGCATAACTCCCCAAGCATAACAGGGAAAACCAAGGCATCATCCATGTAAGAGTCTCAATTTTGCGTCTCTCTACTTTCTTCTGGGAGCTTGTCAATATTTGCTATGTGTTTTCTCACTCTTTTACTTGGAAATCACTATAGGTATGGGGTGGGGAAGTGAGGATGAAAGATGCTTTCAAAAAGTTCCTAAGGGCTGAAAAGGAGATAGGCACATCAAGTCCCAGGAAGGAATTAATCAAGTATTAATTATTTTCATGTGTCATGGGTGAGAGGCTTTTCTTCTCTCAACCAAGCAAGCCCAGCCTTTGGCTGTTTCAAGGCAGAGGCTGTCTGCTGGCCTCTAAGAACATTTTGTAAACATCTAGTTAATTAGCTGTTAAGCACATTAAGTGAGAAATAAACATGAGTGACTTCATATTCAGAGAGTCTGACAGGGATAAAATCAATTGCTAACTGAGCAGAGGAATTTGGAAAAGAGACAAAAATATACCTAAGGTTTTAGGTTTTGAGTTTCTGTTTATATAGCCTAATTTTTCTTTTGGTTGTATAGACTATAATTTCTTGGCCTGTATAGTAATTTTTAACTGGGTGCTGAACACTGTAAATTCTACTTTGTTGAGTATTTGGATTTTGCTACCTTCCTTTAAAGAGATTTGGACTTTGCTTTGGCAGAAAGTTGTTAGTTGAGCATCAAATTGTTTTTTCTTTTTCTTTTTTCTTTTTTTTTCTGAGGTTTGTTTTTAAGTTTTATTAGAGTGGTCCTAAGGGCTAATACAACGGCATGGCTCTCATGAAGTCTCTAATAAATGCTCTGGGATTTTAACCAGGTCTCTCTGCTCTGGCTGGTTGGAACTAAAGTGTCTTGCAACCCTGAATGAGCTCTGGGAATTGTGCCGCTCACAGCTTAGAGGTAGCAGTTCTTGACCAGTTCTATGGAGTTTTACTCTGAAAATACGCAGCCCAGTTTTCAGCCAGAAACCATAGAGACACCAATGCAGATTTCTGGAGCTTTTTTTTGGTACAGTTCTTTCCTCTCTGGTATTCTACCTTGCAAAGCTGCCTCAGTCGCTCTAAACTATGATCTCTGTCTCATCAGCTCACCGAAACTGCTGTGTTCTCCTTGGCATCTCTCTGGGCACTGAGGCCTGGAAAGTGCCTCCAGGCAGAAATCTGGGGTGGTTGTGGGGTTTACCTTGTTATTTATCTTCTCTCAGGGACTATGGTCTTATGCTAACTGTTGTCCAGTGCCTGAAAGTAGTTTTATATATTCTATTTAGTTTTCCAGTAATTTATGGTAGGGAAATATATCAGCTTCCAATTACTCTGTCATGGCCAGAATGGAAGTTCTTAGCTTCCTAGTCTTTGCATACACATGTTGCACTGTTTCTGCTGCCAACAGTTCATCAGATATTTACATTGTTGAATGGAAAACAGAACCCAGAGATTGGGGTTGGAGAGGATACTGTAACTTAGTGGCAAAACATTTATAAAAATAAATCCACTATGGGGAAGAATAATAGAGGTGTGTTGTCTGGGTATGTCCTGGCTTTCCCTGTCTAGGACTCTCACCCTGATAACACTCTAAGCCGGGCATAAACACTTCTTCCCCTTCCCCTTATCAATACTGACTCACCCTTGACCCAGAGGTACTTTTGTTTATGTGTTGTTTTGAAGCATTCTTTATTCTTTTTTATTTTAAACTTTTTTTTATTGCATTTAGGTTTTGGGGTACATGTGCAGAACATGCAAGATAGTTGCATAGGTACACACATGGCAGTGTGTTTTGCTGCCTTCTGCCCCTTCACCCACATTTGGCATTTCTCCCCATGCTATCCCTTTCCAGCCCCCCCCACTGTCCCTCCCCTATTCCCCCCAATAGACCCCAGTGTGTAGTACTCCCTTCCCTGTGTCCATGTGTTCTCATTGTTCATCACCCGCCTATGAGTGAGAATATGTGGTATTTCATTTTCTGTTCTTGTGTCAGTTTGCTGAGAATGATGTTCTCCAGATTCATCCATGTCCCTACAAATGACACGAACTCATCATTTTTGATTGCTGCATAATATTCCATGCAGGTGTATATGTGCCACATTTTCCCAGTCCAGTCTATCATAGATGGGCATTTGGGTTGGTTCCAGGTCTTTGCTATTGTAAACAGTGCTGCAATGAACATTCGTGTGCATGTGTCCTTATAGTAGAATGATTTATAGTCCTTTGGATATATACCCAGTAATGGTCAAATGGAATTTCTATTTCTGAGTCCTTGAGGAATCGCCACACTGTCTTCCACAATGGTTGAACTAATTTACACTCCCACCAGCAGT